GGAAAGAAAGAGAGAGATGAGATAGAGGATGCATTTGCATGAATATTTTCTTCAGCAGACGCCAGTTTCCAGTGTTCATCTCCACTCTTCTGGTTTCTACCTTGAGTCACTGTTTGCCCCCCTTTTGATGGGCTTAAAAAAACTGGTTTTGACACTGCTACATCAGGATCTTTTAAGCAGGCTGAGGAAGAAACCTCCTTTAAAAAATCCAGTCTGTCTGAATTCCTGATCATTCTGCTTTTCATGACTGCAGAAGACAACTGCACCTTTTTAACTTCACACTCTATGGAAAAAGAGCAAGAAACCCCAAAATTACAGTTTTCTGGAAAATAACATTCTTTTACTTGAAACAAATAGCAGGTACTTACAGGACTACAGAATTGCAAAAAGCTAAAAGACAGACAAGAAGGAAGGAAAGGAAATGTTCAGATGAGAGACTGAGAAGTATTCACACATACTTACTCAAACATCTATGAAAGAGGAAGGAAAGATCATAGAATACTTTGGGTTGGAAGGCACCTTTAAAGGCCTTTATAGTCCAACTCCCTGCTGTGAGCAGGGACATCTTTAGCTGGAGCAGGTTGCTCAGAGCCCCGTCCAGCCTGACCTTGGATGTTTCCAAGGCAACCTGTGCCAGTGCCTCACTGCCCTCACAGTGAAGAACTTCTTCCTTATATCTGATCTAAATCTCCCCTCTTGCAGTTTGAAACTGTTACCCTTTGTCCTCTCAGTACTCGCCCTTGTAAAAAGTCCCTCCCCACCTTTCCTGCAGCCCCTTTCAGCACTGAAGGCCGCTCTAAGGTCTCCCCGGAGCCTTCTCCTCTCCAGGCTGAACACCCCCAGCTCTCTCAGCCTGTCCTCACAGGGGAGGTGCTCCAGCCCCCTGAGCATCTTTGTGGCCTCCTCTGGATCTGCTGGAGCAGGTCCATGTCTCTCCTGTGCTGGGGGCCCCAGAGCTGGACGCAGCACTGCAGGTAGAAATGTCATTGTCAACAGCTTTTAGACACTTTTGCTATTTCAGATATAAGCTGAAAATGCTTCACTGTAAATATCTCACATCACTAAAGTGATACAAAGAAATAACCAGGACTGACACTTCATGTTACCAAAATAAAACAGAGCATTTTCAGCTTTTTCATACATTATTGAGTGATGAAGAGGAGAGCTGGAACCTATTTTAACCCACTCTGCAGGCCATTGTTTCTTTGAAGAATGCGTTTTGAGAATCCCTTAAGCAGAGTGAACAAATCTTTCCATCAGTATCCCCCTTTAAGAGGGTCAGATAAATTTAGTTTAAGAGCACACTAATTTCTTTTCCTAAAAAAAATAATAATAGGAATTCCTTAAATCATGCCAAGTTGTACTTGGGGATCTTTCCCATAATTACTGAAGTAAAGTCTTCCTTCTCCTCTTCATCCTCCTTCACTTCCCTACCCCACAAATATAAACCTCCTCAAACCTCACATGTTAACACTTGGAAAGACTTCTATTGTTATGATACTTTAGCATGGCCCAAGGCCTAAATATAAGGCAGGTCCCTGAACAGAACTCAGGGAAAATAAACTCATGGAGAAAAAAAAAAAAAGTAGTGGACTGGTAGAACCTTATCAAAGGTCACTGTTGAAACTATCCATTTCAGGTAGTCAGCTTTCTTGAAAAAAAAAAAAAATTCTGTGACATTCACAGTGGGAACTCTCAACTAGGTGACAATTTTCTTGACTGAAAACGGTCATTATTTCCTTAGGGAAACACTCTGCACGGCACTGTTGAAACCTTCCAAGTCAACAACAATGGAAATGGCATTGTGCAAGCTATAGAAGCAGAGACAACAGAAAGAAACAGGAAGATTTATTTATTTATTTATTTAAAGCTAGAAAAATTAAAAAGAATAGCCTATATTTCCCTCAGTTGAAACAGAATTCCTGTTTTCTTCATTTACATGATCAGGCACATCAATTTTGTTGTCTAAAGTTCTCATCCCATATTGTTTAATACACTTACTAAGCAGCAGGCTCAAATAACAAAATACTAAATTTAAAAATTCATCTTCTGTCCCTAATTTTTCCATTAACAAAAATACCCTCAGAATATTTTTATTAAATAAAACCATTTGCCAAGTCCATTGCAACCACCAGGGCATCCCAACGTACTACTGCCCCAGAAATCATGATCATGCCATCTAAAAAATACATCAGTGGAGACAAAAAAGACAGAAAGATTTGCTCAAACTTCAGTTAACCTTCAAAGTTGTCAGGAGAAACACTCCCTTCCGGCAGAAGCAAGATTTATTCGTATTCTATGAATATGAATAGATCAAGCAAGGACTACAAGCCACTCAAAACTTCAGAGAACAAACTTTAGTTCTTTTCATGGGTTAACTTGAATTCAGGAAGCAGCAAATAACATCCATCATAAACTGGAGGCATATGCCTAGGGACAAAACAAAACTAACTGATTGTAGCCTCCATTCATTTATATAGCCATATCCCACACGTGTATTAGCTGAATATTGCAACAAATTTTTTTTTGTTAATATTACCTGAAGACAATCTGGAAATTTATGCTGAGTTTGCCTGCGAAGGGAGGAATCCTGTCCAGAATTTAGATCCAAGCCATTC